CAAATGACAATACAATCATATCAACTTTAGTCTTGAAATTTTAAAAAGGCATATAAATAAAATAAATTATTTTTTGGGCAAAGGTGCATATTTAACAACAAACTTTACATGAAGGGGCACTAGGCACCATAATGTATTTTTTGGTGCAAAAATATGCACAAAGCTGTTACAAGGGTGCAAACCAGCCAGTTCCGTTAACCCAGAGTAACGTTGACCTAAGAAAAAATGGAGAGAGAAAACAGTCTGACTATAGCAAGAAGTGGACAAACGGTTTGACTACAAAGAAGCTGAGTGTGGAGTCCTGCATTGGTGATGGCGAAGTGTAAGAATGAGCTGGCAATAGTGGCGTGGGAAAACCTGAAAAATCTGAAGCGAAAATAGGAAGAGCGAAATGTAAAGGCGGAAGGGAAAATGTAAAGGCGGAAGGGAAATTATGAAAAATTGAATCAAGAGAAATTGATTAGGGGAGACAGATAGAAGTCGAAGGGAAGCTCAGAGCTGTGTGTAGGGAAGAAAGAAATCGAAGGAGGTGGAAACTGAAGCTGAAATCGAAGGAGGTGGAAATTGAAGCTGAAATCAAAGGAGGTGGAAACTGAAGCTGAAATCGAGAGAGGGAGAGGAATCTACGAGTGGTAATAGTAGTCGCACGTGAGGAGACAATCTTTCTGAGCTACAGAAGAGGAGGAACAAGGGCACAGAATATTGACTGGTAGGTATGGATTTGGGTTTTTGACTGAAAAGAGTGAAATGTCATCGTCCCCATGATTAATTTGTTGATTTGTTTATTACACAAGGAAATGGTGACAAATGGGGAAGCCAACAGAGATGGAGATACGAAGGCAAATATGGAAGGAAATATGGACGTGACTACAGAGAGAAATACGGAGGCAAATAGAGAGGCAAATACAGAGGTGAATACGGAGGGAAATATGGATGCAACGACAGCTAAGTTATTTAAGAGGTACCATAATATTTGTGTTTTAGTGATGAATAGTTGGGCTGCTACAAAAGCCAGGTTGCGTGAGGGTCACAGTAGTTTAGCTGAAAGTATTCGAAGGTCAGGGTATGATTATTTTGATAGACCAATAGGAGGGTTTGGAGATGATGATGGTGTAGGGAATAATGTGGAGATGGGAGTTGAAAATGAAGAGAGTGAGAGACTTGGAGAACAAGATATAATTGATATAATAGAAGAAGTAGATGGTTTGGAGGACATAGATGATATTGTTAATCTAGGAAATGAAAGTGAAAGTGAAAGTGATGCAATTGCTGAAGTAGCTGTTAGAGACAAAGGGAAAGCAGTTCTGTGTGAGGAAGATGAGGGAATTTGTGGTGAGGAAGAGGATGAGAGACAAAGTGAAAGTAATGCAATTGCTAAAGCAGCTGTTAGAGACAAAGGGAAAGCAATTTTATACGAGGAAGATGAGGGAATTTGTGGTGAGGAAGAGGATGAGAGGCAAAGTGAAAGTGAATCTCACGGTGGATTTGACAATGAGGAAGATAATGTCAGTGATGATAGGAGTTACATAGCGGAAACTGGGAGCTCAGATACTGAGAAGAGTATAGAGGATGATTTTGAAGTTAATGAAGTGGTTGAGGATGCTGAAGTGAATGAAGATGCTGAAGAAGTGGGCTTAGAAGATGAAGTTGGGCCTTCAGAAGAGAGGTATAGGATGGTTGAAGTTGATTGGCCAAGTAGGAGGCCTTTTTTCATGCTAGGGATGACATTTGCAAACAAAGATGAGCTGAGGAAGGCTATAGATAATTACGCCATTGAAAAGGGAGTTAATTTGAAAGTTGTGAGAAGTGAGAAACGATTGGTTAAAGCTATATGTGGAGCGGGTTGCCCATTCTCTCTATATGCCTCTAGAGATGGGCTTAATGTTGGGTTTTGTATAAAGAGCTTATGTAGTGAACATAGATGTGCGAGGGTATATAAAAATCCAAGAGCAACTGTAAGGTGGCTAGCAGATCACTTTAAGGAGAAGGTACAAGAGAGACTGAAGTTTAGTATTACTGATATGAAGAGTGAAGTTAAGCGTGACTTGAAAGTTCATGTTAGCATACACAAATGTAAGAGGGCAAAGAGGATGATAATGCAAGACATGGAGGGCAGCTTCAAAGATGAATATGCAAAGTTAAAAGCATATTGTCACGAATTGAGCATATCAAATCCTGGGTCGGATGTTAGGTGTGAGATAAGCAATGAAGCTTTGGAGCAAGGGAGAAGAGTCTTCAGAAGGATGTATGTATGCTTTAATGCATCGAAGGTAAATATGTTTAATGAACTATGTAAACATGTTGTTCTTCTTTTTTTTAACCTGACTGTCAATATCAATAAGTAATGTCTAGATTATCATAGGTTGGGTGGAAAGAAGGTTGTAGACCCTTCATTGGCTTGGACGGACGTTTCTAAAAGGGAAAGCAAAAGGCATTTTGCTAATAGCAGTGGGCATAGATGCAAATGATTCACTCTACTTGTTGGCCTTTGGGTTAACTCAAAAAGAGAATGGTCTTAACTGGACCTGGTTTATTCAATTGCTTTAGACTTCACTACAACTTGAGAAAGGTGGTTTAGTGACAATCATGTCGGATATGCAGAAGGTAAACATGCATAATTATGTGAAAATTGGTTTACTGTTTGTGATAGTGAAATTATGGGAATGCAGTGACTAAAATATATTATTAAAAATTACAGGGATTAGCACATGCAGTGACTGAAGTGCTACCTGATGCGGAGCATAGGCTGTGTGCTCAACACATATATGCCAATTGGAGCAAACAATGGAGAGGTAATGAGCTGAAAAAGATGTTATTTTCTTGTGCTTGGAGCACATTCGAAGAACAATTCAATGACAACATAAAGCAACTGGGAAATGTGAAAAAGCAAGCAGCTGCAGCAGTGGTATCATACAATCCAAGAGCTTGGGTAAGAGCATTCTTTATCACTAGGTGTCAGTCTTGGATGGTAGATAATAATGTTTGTGGGAGTCTTAATGCTTGGATTCATGAGTATAGGTTCCTTCCAGTCATCAGGATGTTTGATGGAATTATAGTTAAAATGATGGAGAAATGGGCTGATAGTTCACGAATAGTTAGTACTTGGAAGGGACAATATAGCCCTAAATGCTTAGAGTTATTTGAGGCCAATATGTTTTTAGCTGCAAATTGTAGAATAATCTTCAATGGTGATGAAGGTTATGAGGTTAGTGAGGGTTAGGATAGACATATTGTTTATTTGACTAGGAGGATGTGCACATGTAGAGCTTGGAATTTAACTGGAATCCCATGCCAGCATGGTATTTGTGCTTTGTATGATGCCAAAATAGATCCTATGACACAAATCTCATGCTATTACCACAAGGACATGTATATTGCTAGCTACAGGACAAAATTACAACCTGTTAGGGGTCGGCAATTTTGGGACATAGACGCACATCTTCCTATGCTGCCTCCTCCTGAGGTGTCATTACTTGGTAGACTGAGGAAAAAAAGACTGAGGACTGAAGAAGCACAAAGGAGGAAGAAAGTTGCCTCTGCTCAAAATGCTTTAATGACACAAAATGCATCTAAAGCGCCTCAGCCAGAAAAATTAAGCAAGAAAGGTTCCATCAATAGATGTAGTATTTGCAAACAACAGGGACACAACAAATCCACATGTAAACAGGTACTTTCCAATTTAGACCAATTTTATCCTTCAACCTCACATTCACTTAATGTTTGTTATTATGCTTCATGTAGGCACCTTCTTCAAGTACCGCTTGGCCAAAAAGGAGAAAGAACACACAAGCTACATAAGTGACTCCATCTTCACAGCAACCTGACCTGACCCAACCATCACAACCTCCTGAAGTGAGCCAACCTTCACAGACACAGCCTACTCAACCATCACAAAAACGACAACACCAATCTGGACCTTCCAGTCTAAGGCCTACTAAACAGCCACCAAGTAAGAGAGGTGTCTACAGGCCCAGAACTACCTGTGGAATGGGTATAATTATAGATGAAGAGATTGGCAGAATTGTATATAATGTTAGTATGCTACCTCATTCCTTATTTAATAGCCTTGTTCACAAAATAATTATCTAATTTTCTTTCTATTTTTTTTTCCAGCTTGGTATGCATTCTCAAGTGGTAATTGAGGAAAGGAGCCCACGGCCAATTGCTCATAATGCACACCCTCAAACAAAATTTTCCATGCCAAATCAGAATGAAATACGAATGAAAAGGGCTGCAACTTCCAATGTAGAGCCTGGTTGGAGGAGGATTCAAGTCAATGGCCAAGGTTTTGCTGTTGCTCAACCACCAATGCTGCCATTTAAGCCACTAGGGTTGCAATGGAAGGGCCACCCATCGATTACAACCTCTTAACTCCAAGCTCAGACACGAGACATGATTAGGAACACTAGGGCCACCTCAATAACATCTAATATATAGAGTGCTTAGTTATTAGGTCTGTAATATTTTGTATTTCTGGCTCTGTATGTACGCTAGGACCTAAACCTCTTATTGTATATTTTGTCCATGAGAATTATGTTCTCATCAGTTTAAGGCTTTGTATGTGCAAAGACCATAAATTCCTAAGTTTTTACTAATGTGAAAAGTTTCCATATTTCACGCAGCTATATGTGATTGTATCTAGCAGTACTATTAAATCAGGGAATATATTGAATATCATTCCATTTCATCACTTCTATTTAGAATTTAGAAGACATAAAGTGCTCTGTGTATCATGGAAGATAGTAAATGCTCTCTGTATGCTCATTTCATCATGGATAAACGTGTATATCCTAAGTATTAACAAGTGAATGTACATCAACCAAAATACTATCAACTTATCTCAAATACACTACATAAACCAAGTACATTACTCATTTACAATAGACAGCCAACAAATAGCCACACCTATGTAATTAACAGGCATAACATTGTCATCTTAAACTTCTTCACTGCCTTCCTAAGCTCACTTTCTTTTATCTGGTGCCTATTTTGCACCTGCCTCATTTCACCTCGCATTGCAGCCAACTCATCAAACAGCTTTGCCCATCATTGCCTCTTTGAAGCTCACTATTCTCATCGTATAGCTTGTCAATATTGTCCAGAAGCTCTTTAATCACAGTATTAACCCTCTCACCGAACTTAGCATCATGCCAAGCAAAGTATCCACACCCACCATCCTGTCAATGTTTAGCTCAACCATTACAACATGCTGAATCAAACCAAGTTTCAAAATTTTGTTCCTTACCTGGTCATAGTAATGACACCCATAAAACCTCCTCCCCGGGTTCGCTTTTGTCCATGCCGTCCATTTGGGTGCCACCATCCTATGATGGCAATACTTTCTTGGCCCTTCGTAATCATCCTCACGACTGGGTTGTCTTAGCAAACACACCCTCCTTCTCGATCTTCCAGTGGTAGACGATGATGACGACGGCATTTGCAAACACACCCTACTCCTTCCTTCATCACTTTCGAAGCTTTAATGGAAGCAGCCAACGCTTGAATAGAAGCAGGGGAATGTTTTGCCACTTAGTTTTCTTGGACTAGAACCACAGGACCTCGCTCGCTCTCCCTATTGATTTTAATATGCGATAGCGACAATGGAGTTATTGAGCTGACACGAACCTCTCTTATTCAAATTAATGGAAGCAGATGACTTTGGTTGACTATTTAAGGGAGATCCAGCGACCTTGCCCGTGTTTTCAAATGGTTAGATGGAGTGACTCATCGTCACTCGTGTACAGATTGTGGGACCCACTATACATGACTTAACGGGCATTAACCTGGGTTAACAGAATTGGCTGGTTTGCACCCTTGTAACAACTTTGTGCATATTTTTGCACCAAAAAATACATTATGGTGCCCAGTGCCCCTTCATGTAAAGTTTGTTGTTAAATATGCACCTTTACCCTTATTTTTTGAAAAGAAGACTTACATAAAGAAATAGAGAGACTACTTAACCCTAAAAATTTCTTTAAGACATTCCACACGTTATATGAGAAAATAAGGCATAATTGACATAGACAGTGACACATTAAATATTTTATAAATATTCATTATCAATAGTTTGGCTTTCACTTTATTTGTTAAAAAGACTTTTATTTTCATTAGAAGTACAGCACAGTTTAATTTCTTTCTTTTTTTTCCCAACCAAATATGAAATGTCCTTCGTAGTAAATAAGATTATTATAAGTTACATCTTTATTAAAAGAAGAGAAATTATGACTGAGGGCAAGTATTTCTTGCCAAGTGATGTTGAGAAGAGAGAAAGCATAGGCAAGAATATGGAGTAATCTCTTTTTAATATAGTAAACTTGCACAGAGGGCTTACTTGTAGCAAGTTTCAAATTGGAGTTATATTAGCTTGGTTTCCCCATCAAAATTCTTTTAAAGGCATTCCCTCATAACAAATAATATTGTGGCAATGGTATTTTCTTAATTTGTTGTATTTATAGAGTAACACATTCCAACCATCTTGGTTCAATCTTAAGCGAGAATATTTATCAAAGAAGTTCTACTTAGAAGACCAAAAGGAGTTAAAGTTATCAAAAGTCATAATTTGAAAGAGAAATTATATTCTGGATTTCCCGAATCATAGTAAGAGGATAATCTATTTTTCCCTTTATGATGCAATTTGTTTCTTTTCATCCAGATGGTATTAAGTTCTACCAAAAAATAGACTTTTGATAATAAATTTCAGTGTTGATTAAAAAAAATATATGCTGCTTAAAATCAACGACTCTAGAAAGTCAATTTAAACAGCTATTTTTTGTCTGCTAGGGTTCACCAAAATACCAGTTATGTTACACTACTACTAATTATCTAAGAAAACTTAGCACAAGCTTCCATGACTTACCAAAATCACTAATATATATCATCAAATATATCTAGCAATAAAGAGAATATATCAGCCAAAAATAAAAATACAAAATAACTGCTATAAAATAAAGAAGAAATATAGAGAAGAATCATACAAAGGAAGAGAGGATCAACAAGAAAGAGTATTTCTCATTCCATTCAAGTGTACTCAATACATTATACATAGTCGCTATTTATAGGCACAGCTTTACACCTTCGATAGAATCTACAGATTACATGATAATATGAGATAATTGAAGGATATAGAGATAATGGGAGATATTAGAGACTATAGGAGATAGTGGGAGATATATGGACATCCATAAAGATATTATTATATTCATAACACTCCCCCTTAGATGTCCAATATATATGAATGTGCCTCATTAAAAAATTTCAACTAGGAAAAACCCTATGGGATAAAAACCTAGCGGAAAAAAAGAGTACATCATTCATTGATACATTATGCAATGTTGTCTCATTAAAAACCTTGCTTGCAAAACCCAGTGGGACAAAACCATAAACAAGGAAAAAAGAGTACAGCGTGTATCAATAACATCAGTTGACATCTTGGAGCCTACAAAGTCTAATATAACAAACAACCCTTCCAAATATTGTAATGAGATAAAAACGTCAAATATGAATTTCATAATCTTCTGAAAATTGAGACAAATAGTCCTTTTATGGTTTACCCACACGTAGATCATACTATGATCTGAGGATCAAACAAAAATACTTTATCTATAGCCATTAAGATTAGTCTTGGATACCTTCAAATAAAACAATATTACCTCCATGGCACCCTTAAAGTAACAAAGAATATTTTTAATTCCATTCTAAAATCTTCATGTTGATAAAAAAACTATATCATGCTAATCAGGAAATGATATATCAGATTCTGTATGGCTAGATATATAAATGCTTCAGTGATACTAAGATATGGTACTTCTGGACCAATTGTTTATTCATTACGTTCTGGAGGTCTAAATCGATCTTTAATCCACATCTAAAGAACTTGCAACTAATGAAACATATAATAGATGTTGCTCATCCACATAATAGATGTGACTTATCTATATATATTCTTCTGAACGGTTTCATTTCAAATTTTTTCCTTTAAGTAATTCACAACTATTGAAAACTCATTAGGAGTTCTGATATTATCATTATAAATAGTACTAATAACAGACTCATTTTGAATCTTTTCGCAAATAGACAAGTTGGAATATGTTTACATCATTCCTTCAGTCAATATTAACCACATATGTCTCATATAGAGATTTACTTGAATAGTGTTCTTGAGAACATAATTATATGCTTCTAGAAACTTAAATCCTTCAAAGATTTTCATACATTATGATCCATATCTATTCATATATTGGATCGTTTGAATTTATACAAGGATTTGAATCCTTTAGGGATTCATATAAAACTTCACTATAAAGTAAGTCATACGTTATAGTTATATATTTCTAAGACGCACATGAAAAAAAATTTCAGTTATTACCAGACTGCCAGATTGATAAGACATGTAATTTAATCCACCACAAGACTTTATTTCTCTCTATATTGTACAAATGTCTCTTTACATAATACTAGCATTACACTTCAAGTGCATAGGCTAGGGATACACAAATCCCTGTTACATTGCGTCTTTTCTTTTCTATTGGCCAACCATTTTTTTGTCTGTATCTCATGACAGATTTATATATAAGATCCTCATTTGATCACATGATATCATCAATAAAATTATTGTTGACAATTTTATTCCTTTATCAGTCCCCTTTTCTTTTATGAGACAACATATCGAGATCTCTTTATTGCTTTCAGACACTTAAACCTCTTCAAGAGTCAAACAATTGTGTCTTAATCTCTTTTTCAATTCATGCCTCCTTAGTATGATCATCATGATCATTTGCTCCTTTTTCTTTTCTTTTGGAACAGATTATAATCTCATGCTTTTAGCATGTCTTCAAAAATAAGAGCACTTTTAGCTGGAATATAAGAATTAAGAATTCTCATTTTGATAAGTAATTACATCTGGTAGATATTAATAATATTTTATGAATACAATACTTTATGAACTTCTAGTTCATACTACTATATTAGAGGATCTATATTTGATAGTAAAAATGTATTCTATATATTCTCTTTTCCAGCTACACATTTTCTCCCCCTCATATTGGGAACATATAATGTAGATCTCCTAAATCCATAAATCACCTTTAGAAACATTATTTTGTTTCATTTAAAGACAAACAAGAATAAGGAGATTTTATCCAATAGTGATCCCAACTTACTTTTAATATCCATCTATGTGCGTTATTGCGGTGGAATAATAGATATCACACATTTTAAGATGAAAAATGGCTGGCACCTGACCAAAAGCCAATTATAATAGGAGAATTCACAATACATTGTTGGCTTGATGCATTTATGTGCAAAAATATATAAAATCAATCATCCCAACACTCAAATGGGAATTCTGTTCTCATAAACTCTGATCTAGCTACTTATGGAGGCTTTTACTAAGCATATAATCATCAGCAACATGAGGAACAATCACTAGCAATCTCAACGAGAATCATATTGATTTCATAATAAAGAACTTATGTACTCAATGTAATTACTGAACATATTTGCAAACTTCAAGTTGCAAGTTGATCACAAACACCAGTGACCATTTTATAGATGCATCTTTCACTTACAGAATATTACTTTGCTCCACGTGGTGTCTAAATGGGCCCATATATAAAGTTGATATATTATAGATCTGTACGGATCCGATTATGAGCATAGTTAGTGATATTTTCTTTAAGAACAAACAACACATAAAAATTCTTGAATTATATATCATTTTTAAAGAATCTTCTGGTTCTTTAATAAATGACAATACACATTTTTCATGATATTTTGCATCATTATGATCCAGGATGATCTGATCGGTCATGCCAAATTGTAAATGTATAATGAGACAACTGCTCTTTCAAAACCATTTTAGATTAAATCCGACAATTTATTTGAATGATTAACCATGATAGAAAAGAAGAAACCTTAAAATTTTAAAATCGCTATCATGGTTCAAAGAAATAAACTTATAATAAGAGTAACATCGATCGTTACCTTGGGCCTTGGACTTCCAAAGTCCAGAAATATCATTCAACCATTAGCCCAAACCAAACTTATATTTTCAACCATACGAACTGATAAATCAGTTTAATATAAACTATAGAACTCATTAGTCAAAAGTCAACACTTTCAAAAGAGCGTTACGCGCAGAGTCTAAAATGTCTCGGGCCTCCTCACGGCCCTATCATACCAGATAGTAGTAATTAAAAGTATTATTTTACATCATGATAGTAGATGAGCCCTATGTGGCAATATATAACAAGTCAGCACATAGAACAAAAGCAGGGAGGCTATACAAGCTATAACAGCACACTATGCCTCCAGAGCCTTCCCTGATGGGCCACCACCTGAACTATCGCCTGAAAATGTTAAACCACAGGGTGAGACAAATGCCTCAGTAACCAGCTTTCCAACTCATCATACATACTAACATGTGCTTGTGAGGTGTCA